GCTCTACCACTTGAGCCACAGCGCCACTTCCTGTTTTCTGGTGGTTTATTGGAGATAAGAGTCTTATGGACTTTCCTGCCTGGGCTGGCTTTCAACCACGATCCTCAGATCTCAGCCTCCTAGCTAGGATGACAGGTGTGAGCCACCAGCATCTGGCTAGTTTTCTTATACTCTGGCATTCTCTGATGGGTCATTTTACTAACAAGAAAACAAACCAAACAAAAATGAAACACACTGCTTCACAGAGTCAGGTCAAGACAAGAAACCTGCCAAGCACAGCATAGGGGGAAACGTATTATAAGACTTTACATGATAAGATTCTTACGACAAAAAGTACCTTATTTGCTCCAAACTGCACTCTAGCTTTGCCCTTGACTAAGGTGGCGTTGATCTGCATGATGACGGACTCAACCGAGTAGGCGCTGCTCCAGCCCTGCAGAAGGAAACACAGCTCTGAGACGCGGCTCTGCGCTGTCTCCACGCAGAAATCCCACCCCGGGCACGGGGTCATCAACAGTGCAGACACAGGAAGACTCTGGCTGCTTCCAGAACCTCGCCACAGCCCCCACAGCATGCCATGCTCTAGGCGCCTGCCAGGGGAGAGCTAAACGTACACACAGCGGTCCTCCCTCAGTTTCATCTGGGGCACATTTGGTCCAGCACTCGGTTACTGTAAATAACTGCACTAGGTTACCTTAAATAACTGCACTAGGTTACTTTAAATAGCTTTTGTGTGACTAAAAGTGGGAGGCATTAAAACAAAATAAATACAGTTAAGGCAGATGCTATTGCAAGAGAACTTTTTTGTTTTGGTCCGTCATGGGGACTGAACTCGGGCTGGGCGCTGTCCCTCAGCTCTTCAGCTCAAGGCTAGCGCTCTACCACTTGAGCCACAGCGCCACTTCTGGCTTTTTCTGCTTATGTGATGTCTAGGAATTGAACCCAGGGCCTCATGCATGCAAGGCAAGCGCTCTACCACTGACCAACCTTCCCAGCCCCACAAGAGAACTTTTCTTAGACCCTTATTTGTACAATGAAGTAGTTCACTGCGGCTGAGAATCGGGGAGCGCGGGAAAGAGTTACCTGCTTCGTGAGAAGTTCCATACACAGCGCTCCACCACCTAACACGTACCTGAAAGACAGGGACACACGCCATTCTCTATACCCTGTGGTCCTTGCAGAAGATAACATGCGCAAGATGCCAAAACCTAAGAGCTCAGGCAGGTGCTGGCAGCTCATGCCATCCTAGCTACTTAGGAAGATTCTCGGGCAGGAAAGTCTGTGAGACTCATCTCCAATTCAACAACAAAAAGCTGGAAATGGAGCTATGGTTCAAGTGGTAGAGCACTGGCCTTGAGCAAAAAGCTCAGGGACAGTGCCCAGGCCCTGAGTGCAAACCCCAGGACCAGCACATTTAAGTAAACAAACAAACAAACCCTAAGAACTTATTCCCAAACATTCCAGAATGGAGAAGCCGGGTGTCCTGTACCTGTGCTCAGGGCCGTGCGGCGAGATTCCACCCGGAAGCCCTCCAGGACTCCTTCAGTTCTCCAGGCCTGAAACACTTGTTCAGGGAACCAAAGCTCATCTCTAAAGCCATCATCTAAAATCAAGATTCTTTTTTTTTTTTTTTTGCCAGTCCTGGTGTTTGAACTCCGGGCCTGAGCGCTGTCCCTGAGCTCTTTAGCACAAGGCAAAGGCTCTACCACTTGAGCCACAGTGCCTCTTATGGTTTTCTGGTGGTTAGTTGGAGATAAGAGTCTCATGGACTTTCCTGCCCAGGCTGGCTTTGAACCTTGATCCTCAGAACTCAGCCTCCTGAATAGCTAGGATTATAGGCATGAGCTACTGGCACCTGGCTTCCTGCCATTTTTTTGTATATGTGGTAGAGGAATCAAGCCCAGGGCTTCATGCATGCGAGGCAAGCTCTTTACCACTAAGCCACATTCCCAGCCCCAAGATTCAACCTGTTGTACTGTCTCAAAACAAATCACTTCACCCTGCTTTGTGTGAGATTGCAGTATGCTTTGAACGTTGTGTCTATAGCTGACGCTCAAGATAACAAGAATTGGGGAAGACGGTGGACATGGAAGCTGAGAATTCTGCCAGGTCTCGAACCCACCACCTGCTACAGGTACACTTGTACTTGCAGCTCAGAGCGCGTCACCATCCTAAAGCAGCCTCTTCCGCCACGGCCCAGAGCCGTCATCAAAGAAGCCGTACTTCATAGGCTCCTCTTTACAGGCAGCGCCACAGAGCCACAGCAGCTAAGAGAATGTAGGCACCATCAGTGAAGGATGGACACACAGAGCAGCTTCAAGAACCTTCCAGGAGGAGGGAGTGGTTCAGGCTGCACAACACTTGACATGTACTCTATGAGGGTGCACTGTATCAGAAATAAAGGTTAAATTACTTATGAAGAGCTGTTGTTTTAGTTAAAAGGTTGACTATGACAAGATAAAGAAACAGGATAGAAGACAGGAGATGGAAGAAATAAAACACACAGAAGAAAAGGGGCTCAGCACCCCGTCCGAAACACAGCTCTGACATGGCGAGTGCTGGGTTTGCTCTGCCATCGCTCCCGTGCCGGGAAGGCCTGGCAAGTGCAACCCTGCCCAAAGGAGCGCGTGCGCACTGCACTCCGCAGTCCCTTTAGCCCCCGCCTGGCTCTGATCATGAAGACAGAGGAGACTTCTGCGGGAGTCGCCCCTGCCCGGTCTGCTCATTCACCTCTAAGACAAGTCCTGTACTTGACTCCCTCTCCCCTGCTGGGCCCGTTAACTGAGATGAATCCAAGCTCCACCAGTGAGCCAGCCACCAGGCCTGCGTTCACCGCCATGCTGGGCCATCAGAACGGCTTCCACCGAGAAAAACCTAACCACGAGGGCCTAGCTGGAAAATGACTAGAGTTATAAGCAAGAGACAAAAAAAGGTCAAATTTATTTTATGTATGTGAATATTTGACTGGATTACCTAATACTCATCTTTCAAAACTGATTATGAGGCTTTGGGATAGGAAAAGCTTTTTTATTATCTAATCCAAAAGAGCTCAGGGACGCTTTAATAAAAATACTTTTTTGGGGGGGCTGGGAAGGTGGCTCAAGGTGGCTTGCCTTGCATGCCTGAGGCCCTGAGTTCGATTCCTCCGCACCACATAAGCAAAAAGAAAAAAGCCAGAAGTGGCACTGTGGCTCAAGTGGTAGAGCGCTAGCCTTGAGCTGAAGAGCTGAGGGACAGCGCCCAGGCCCAGAGTTCAGGCCCCACGACCGGACCCCCCCCCAAAAAAAAATACTTTTTTTTCCCCTTGCTGGCACTAGGACTTGAACTCAAGGCTTGGGCACTCTTGCTCCTATTTTTTTTTTTAATCATCTCATCTGGCACTGTACCACTGGAGCCACACCTCAAGTCCGGGTTTTTTTTCCCGGGTAAATAAATGTAAGAGTCTACCGATTTTTCTTTCTTTTTTTTTTGTCAGCCGTGGGGCTTGAACTCAGGGCCTGGGCGCTGTCCCTCAGATCTTCACCTCAAGGCTAGCACTCTATCACTTGAGCCACAGCGCCACTTCCAATTTTCTGGTGGTTTATTGGAGATCAGAGTCCTCATGGACTTTCCTGCCCAGGCTGGCTTTGAACCGCAATCCTCAGATCTCAGCCTCCTGAGTAGCTAGGATGACAGGCATGAGCCACTGTCACCTGCTACCCATGCTTATAAGTTAAATGTCATTATTACTATCTTGAAAGCAGCAATGATCAACATAGGAACTAGAAACTTTTAGACTTACAACACAATGAATTATCTCCACAAGAAGCTAAGCATTTGAAATTTCTCAGTGACTTAATTGTTCCTAGTTTGGGGTCTACAGAACATTTGATAACTAATCTGACCTTTCCACACCATCCAAAGGACTTCTGACCACAAAGCAGCCAGAGGAAACTGAGGAAAGCTAGACATGACAATTACCACTCATGTGTGCATGTGTGCGTGCGTGTGTATATGTGTGTGTGTTTTATAATTCATTGGAGCTAAGAGTCTCATGGACTTTTCTGCCTAGGCTTGGCTTTGAACCAGGGTCTTCAAATTAGCCTCCTGAGCAGCTAGGTTGACAGGAGTGAGCCACTGGTACCAGGGAACACTCAGTTTTTGTTTTGTTTTTGTCAGTCATGGGACTTGAACTCTGGGCCTGAGTGCTGTCCCTCAGCTCTTCAGCTCAAGGCTAGCACTCTACCACTTGAGCCACAGCGCCACTTCCGGTTTTCTGAGTGGTTTATTGGAGATAAAGACTTTTATGGACTCTCCTGCCCAGGCTGGCTTTGAACCACGATCCTCAGATCTCAGCCTCCTGAGTAGCTAGGATTACAGGCAAGCATGAGCCACCGGTGCCCAGCTGGAACACTCAATTTTTAAATGATAAACATATAAATAGGCACCACTGAAAATTACCTAGGAACAACTTAATGATTTGTAATAATGACTCTGAATAGGGTCCCCAAACCCAGCCACCCTAGCATTTAGCTGGCTGTCCTAATGATTCTTGATGCACACTTAATATCTAAGATAAAAACAATCACTTCAACTTACCCTCCTGAGAGAACAGGTAACACCACTCGAACAAAGGGAGGATCAAACGGAAAGTTATCCTGAAAAGCACAAGTTTAATTTTAGGAACATCCTCAATACTATACTATTGAGAAGATGTTAAAATAACTTAGAAAGCTGTATAGACACATGTATGATCTGATCCAAAGCAGATAGAAAGCCATCTACAGGAGCTGGGAGTGTAGCTTGGTGGTAGAGTGCTCACCTAGCATGCACGAGGCCCCTGGGTTCAATTCTTTGGTTGCCACATAAATAACTAAAATTTTAAAAAGAAAACCATCTATAAAATGGTATATTGAAACTCAAATGTCAGCACCAACACTAAATGCAGTGGACCAAGTGCTTCAATTATAAGTCAAAGATCATAGCTACTCATGCATAGAAGTCTGAGGTCAGCCTAGGCAAAGGCTGAGTGATTGAGACCACATCTCACAAGGTGGGCAGTACAGAGAACGTTCAGTTATGAAGAAAATAGGTAGAACACTAGATTATGCAGAATAAGCCAGACTCAGAAAGACAAATACTAGCAGAGCTGTGGCTCAAAGAGGTAGAGCACTGGCCTTGGGCAGAAAAGCTCAGGCCCTGACTTTGAAGTCAGTCCCCCAAGACTGGTCCAAAAGGCAAGAAGGGAAGGAAGTAGGGAAGGAAGGAGGGAAGAAGGGAGGGAAAAAAGCGGGACACCACGGGACACAGCGAGGACACAGCTGGACACAGCGGGGACACAGAGGGGACTCAGCAGGGGACATAGAGGGAAAAAAGCGGGACACTGGTGACTCTCACCCGTAATCCTAGCTACCCAGGAGGCTGAGATCTGAGAACACAGTTTGAAGCCAGCCTGGCAGGACAATCTGTGAACCTCTCATCTCCAATAAACTAACTCAGAAAAAGCCAGAAGTGGTGCTGTGGCTCAAGTAGTAGCAAAAGACAAAAAGACAGCTCAGGAACAGTGCCTAGGCCCTGAGTTCAAGCATTAGTACAGGTAAAAAGTAGGAAAGGAAGGAGGAGAGCAGGGAGGGCAGGCAGGCAGGCTAAATACTGCCAGTTATCTCTATTATTCAGAAGCTACATCTAAAGAAAAATGACAAAAGGTAAAGAAAAGATTGCTGGGGGAGGAAGCAGCAGGAGGTGGGAGGGGAATGAGTGAAAGTAGAGAGCCAGGCGCTGATGGCTCACACCTGTCATCCTAGCTACTCAGGAGGCTGGCATCTGAGGATCATGGTTCAAAGCCATCCCAGGCAGGAAAGTCTGTGAAACTCTTATCTCCAATAAACCACCAGAAAACTGGAGGTGGCGCTGTAGCTCAAGTGGTAGCTCTCTAGCCTTGAGCTGAAGAGCTAAGGGACAGCGTGCAGGCCCAGAGTTCAAGCCCCATGCCAGACAAAAAAAAAGGGAGAGAAGGTAGAGGAGAATTCAAGCATGCATATATATGTGAAAGACTGCAGTAAGATTTTTGTAAGGGGTGGGAGAAAGAGTGTACTTTTTCGAGTAGCAGAAGAGGTGATGATGGCCAAAGTACACTACATCCTGTGTAGAAACATCACAAGCACTCTCCACACTGCACAATTAATATGCACCAATTTAAATAAGTGGAGGTTGGGGCACCAGGCAGGAAGGCATACACTTGTGGCCGAAAATGCCTGGGAGGCTGAGGTAGGCAGAGCCCAGTTCAAGGATCAGGGATCAGGGATCAGGGATCAAGCTCAGGCAAAGTGAATTGGGAGACCTCATCTGAAAACGAAACACTAGGGCCTGGCTCAAGCAGAACCACGCCAGGCCCTGAGTTCAGCCCTCCGTTAAGCAGGTCGGAAGAAAGATCGCCAGACTTAACAACAGCGAAGGAAGATGAGCTCGCCGATGAGAATAAACCTCGACACTTCTCAGACTAATAAGCACAGTTCTTTCCACAGTCTTAGTTCTGGACATAGATTCCAGAGAATGAAAGTATCATGTCACTACAAACTGAAGCAGAGATGCTAATGCAGTACTAGAGCACAACTGCTTGCTGGACAGATGGCCAAGGTGGCGGCTGCCCCTCACCTTCCTGAGGCAGCAAGGAACCAGACACGCCCTGGCTCTCATCAGGAGAGGCCAGGGAACCTGAAGACAAACTGTCTCCAGGGCTGATGCCCCAACAATATGGACTCACGGAAACTAATGCATTCTTAAAGCCAATTTGTGCCATCCAGCCATATGCACGCCCGCAAATACACAGGTTTATACTGGAAGGAACAATAAGCAGCAAAAGAGCCAGGTGCCAGCGGCTCATGCCTGTAATGCCTAGCTACTCAGGAGGCTGAGATCTGAGGATCAAGGTTCAAGGCCAGCCTGGGCAAGAACATCTGTGAGACTCTTATCTCCAATAAATCACCAGAAAACCAGAAGTGGCATTGTGACTCAAGTGGTAGAGCACTTGCTTTGAGCTGAAGAGCTGACCCCTGACCAACACACACACACACACACACACACACACACACACACACACACACCACATGTGTGCGCATACACGCGCGCGCACAGCAAAACCTCAGCTATTTTCTCTGACCTCCTCAAGTTCACAGCAGGGTAAGCCAGAAGGCCAAACCAGGAAATGGGGTCGAAAGTCACCTGAGTTTAAGAATGCAGAAGATGGAGCTGGGAAGGTGGCTCAGTGGTAGAGCGCTTGCCTTGCATGCATGAGGTCCTGGGCTCGATTCCTCAGCACCACATAAGCAAAAAAAAAAAAAAAGCCGAAGTGGCGCCATGGCTCAAGTGGTAGAGCGCTAGCCTTGAGCTGAAGAGCTGAGGGACAGCGCCCAGGCCCAGAGTTCAGGCCCACAACTGGACCCAAAAAAAAAAAACAATGCAGAAGATGGGCTGGGAAGGTGGCTCAGTGGTAGAGTGCTTGCCTAGCATGCATGAAGCCCTGGGTTTGATTCCTCTGTCCCACATACACAGAAAAGGCCAGAAGTAGCACTGTGGCTCAAGAGCTAGTGCACTGGCCCTGAGTAAAAGAAGCTCAGGGACAGCGCCCAGGCCCTCAGTTCAAGCCCCAGGACTGGCAAAAAAAAAAAAAAAAGAATGCAGAAGACCTGAATTCTTTGCCATCATTCAGATATTAACTGAGATACAATGCTCCTGAATAATTTGACCTGGGAATACAAAGTGCCTGCTGTTCTACAAATCTGTAGCCAGGAAGAATGCCGTAAAAAGGACAAAAAGCGATAGCCATGTCACAAGACTGTCAGGCCCACTATGACCCTCTGCCTGAGGCTTTGGTGACAGCATCACAATGAGATAGTCTAAAGATGCTTGAAAACAATATATGTAAATATGTATACAATATATGCATTCATGTATATGTTATATATACAAAATATATTTTATATAACCTATACAGTATATATGTGATATGTGTATATATCCATATATATGTGTGTGTGATGTGTATATATCCATATATATCAGATATATGGATCTACATATATATACATATGGATATATACACGTCACACACACATAAATATATATATATACACACACACATGTTTCCTTTGATTTGTGGAAAGAGGGAAGCTGGGGGACTCCATCACACAAAAATTATGACCATTCAGCTGGGCTTGCCTATAATCCTAGGTACTCAGGAGGTAGAGATCTGAGGATTGAGGTTCAAAGGTAGCCTGGGCAGGGAAGTCCGTGAAACTCTTATCTCCAATTAACCACAAGAAAACCAGAAGTGGCCTTATGGCTCAAGTGGTAGAGTGCTACCTTTGAGCAAAAAAGCTCAGGGGCAGTGCACCTAGGCCCTGAGTTCAAGCCCTCCCAACAACCAAAAAAAAAAGAAAGAAAAAGAAAAGAAAATTTAATCCTCTTGGCAAAGGAACAAAAAGCAAATATAATAGATCATCTCAGATTTCTATTGCAAATCAGAAAATCTACGGGCACAGTTACCAACTTAATGACTATTATAATCTCCTTTATTATCTTAATTTGACAGCATAATGAAAGGCAGGGATAGAAAGCTTGAAGAAGTGGAACTTCATTCACTCTCCTGTTATTTATATTTTCGAATATGTGTTGAGATCTACCTTTGTGTTAAGAAATTCTTTAAAACTGGGTGCTGGTGGCTTGGGCCTGTAATTCTAGCTACTCAGGAGGCTGAGATCTGAGGATCGTGGTCAAAGCCAACCTGGGCAGGAAAGTCTGCGAGACTCTTACCTCCAATAAACTACTAGAAAACTGGAAGTGGTGCTGTGGCTCAAGAGGTAGAGAGCCTTGAGCTGAAGAGCTGAGGGACAGCCCTCAAGCTGAGTTCAAGATTTTTAAAAAGGTAGAGATCGCTGCTAAAATGAAGGTTTGAGCTTGAGTTTAAGCTTCAGTTAGTATCCTAACTCAGAAACAGAATCAGGCTTTTTACAAGGATCTTAACGTTACCTGATTGCCAATCAGAGGCACTGACCTTCTAGCTGTTCGTTGTTTGTTTTCTACAGTATACTACTGGGGATTGAATTTAGGGTCAGGCTTTACCACTTGACCTATCATTCATTCTTTTTTGGCTTTTACTTTGGTTTTTAGCTAGGATCTCTTGCCACCTCGAGATGGAGCTGGCCTCCAACTGTGATTCTACTGTCTCCCTCCACCTCCTGAGAAGCTGGGATTACAGGCATACATTTTGCTACTTCTTCTGTTTGGGGTTTGGTTGGTTTGTTTGGCAGCCCTAGGGTTTGAACCCAGGGCCTCACGCTTGCTAGGCAGGCACCCTAAGCAAGTGAGTCTGTTATTCTCAAGATAAAGTCTTACTCTATGCCTCAACTACGATCCTATTTGTGCCTCCCTTTGTCACCAAGATGAAAGGTGCGGGGCTGGGAAGGTGGCTCAGTGGTAGAGCGCTTGCCTTGCATGCCTGAGGCCCTGGGTTCGATTCCTCAGCACCACATAAGCAAAAAGAAAAAAGCCGGAAGTGGCGCTGTGGCTCAAGTGGTAGAGCGCTAGCCTTGAGCTGAAGAGCTGAGGGACAGCGCCCAGGCCCAGAGTTCAGGCCCCACGACTGGACCAAAAACAAAAAAAAAGGCGCATCACCTCTTGCCAGCCTCTCAGAGGGAATCTCACAAACCTAAGCCCAGGCTGGCCTCAATCATCACACCCCAATCTCTGCCTCCCAATAGAAGCGTAGCCATTTTTTATGCTAATTCAGACATGCATATCTTTTGCTCAGAATAATTCCCCATTGCTTTCTCTTCCCTGGCTCTCAATTGCTTATCGGCCCCAGCTTCCACTGGGGACCCTTCACTGCACACAGAGCAGCACTGATTGTGAAACTATTCATCCTCCATTCTTTTCTCTCTTCCCTTCCTCTCACCCTCTTTCATAGAGCCTTCTACTTTTGAAAGAAGACCCTGAATAGTTACAAACCCCTTCCTTACTACCGAGTTGACTTGAGTTGAAAACTGATCTTTATCACTTGACTTTTGGTTCTGCGTATATGCCCTGTGTTCATCGAATAAACAAATAAACTCATGTTTCCCAATCTACAGTCCTTCAAATAGTTAAAGACAAGTTACCACAAACCAGCCATGTTCTTCCTAGCACATCCACAATCCGCCCAGCTCTGAAGGCATGGGTCACCTCTTCCCAATCCTACTTCTCCCTAAGTAAATATAAATTTGTTTCTATAAACCTTTTTTTTTTTTAAAGGAACAGATAGCCACATGAAGAGACAGTGAGCCCACCTCTGAATGGTACAGACATGAGCCTTAGGTTTAACTAGAGAATGGACTCTGGGTGGGGATGAAGGGCGTGAGTGATCATTAAACAGCACTGGGCTGCCTGGTCACGATCTGGTGGTCACTTGGAAGGAGGTGTGGAGAGGCTGTCATCGCTGGACAGCTTGGGGTTTGGGGAACCCTCCTGTGAGAGCTATCTGTCCATCCATCCATCCATCCATCCATCCATCCATCCATCCATCCATCCATCCATCCATCCTCTGTCCGTCCATCCGTCCGTCCTGTCCTGTCCTCCCAGGATCTCAAGGTGGCTGCCAGGTGAGCGGCTCAGAGCAAAATGGAGACAGAGGCCCAGCTTCCCTCCTTCTCTTAGTGAATGTACAGGCCAAGTAAGGAGTCAGTACTTTCCAGCAAAAGCAGTTGAGTTATATGAACGCTTCTTGAAGTTCTACCTCAGAACTCAATTTAGATGTGGTGTGAAAAGTCAGAAGTCATCTCCCTTTCTTTCTGGGGTCTGAAGCAGGGTTTCATCCTTGACAGGCAGGTGCCGCCATCAGTTGAGCCAGGAGTGCAGGACTTGGTTCTAGCTATTTCGAGCTAGGGTCTCTTTTGGCGTTCTCTGGTGCTCTCCTACTTATGACAGGCACTGCCATCATGTGCACTTGGGGCGAGGACGGGTTAACTTGGTTCCCGCAGGCTGGCCTGGCACCACAGTCCTCCTGACTCTGGCCTCCTGCGCGGGTAGGATGCCAGACACACGTCCCTGCACCCAGCTCCTGGTTGGAAGAGGTCTTCCAAGCTTTTTTCCCTGGCTAGCTTCAACCGTGATCCCCTCTATCGCTACCTCCTGAACTGCTAGGATGAAAAGCAGAAGCGCAGGCTCACACAGATCGCTTGCTGCGGGCGCAGCCACGCGCCTATGCTTACTCTGGCTTTCAGCCATCGCAGCCACGCTTCCACACATGCTCAGTTTCAGCACCTTCCGTGACGCGCTCTCTCTGAGTCTTAGCTGTTATCCTCCAACGTCTGCCAAGTCCCACACCTGGTGATTCAGCTACGGGGCACCTCACAGGTCAGTAAACATGAGTCAAGTGCGCTCTCTTCCCAGTGCTCTCAAAGAATCCTAGGACCCTAGGGCAGGCCCTTCTTTCCAGCAAGAGCTATCATCCAGAAACACAAATCCAACAGACTGCCAGCCACTTCCCGCCTCGCCACGCATACCCCAATGAAAGCACTGCCTCTAGTCTCTGGCATTTATTGTCCTACCTTGGCTTTTCACGGACTACCTCATAAAATCAGTACAAGTGAAAAGTTGTCAGCAACTTCAGTGACTATATGCCAGATTCACATTCCAGGAAGACACATCAGCTGACAAGCACAAGAGTTTGAGCAGGAACAACAATGAAAGAAAACACAGACTTTGGGGCTATTTCAAGAAAGTAGTGGTTGGACAAGGTGGTCATGCCTGTAATCCCAGCTATTGCAGGAGGCCGAGATAGGAGGATTAGGATTCAAGACCAGCATGGGTGGAAAAAAGTCAGCAAGACTATCTCAAAAAACAAACTGATCTGAGAGGCTAGCTTGTGCAGAAATACAAGATCCGACCTGACAAATAAACTAAAGCAACAAGGGTTCAAATGGCCTTTCCTGCTACACACAGCTATGTCCTGTTTTATGAATACCATAATTCTCCATTTTTTGGAACATGGGATCATTTTTCTCTAGGGTAAAATAATGCTATCCTGAATAGATGTAGGTTTGTGTAGGTATATGCATGTGTGTGTGATCTATCTACCTATCTATATGTATATATATATATATAAGGTATTCACATATATGTATGCACATCTATCTGGAAATACATTGCCATAAGTAGACATATAAAACTGTGTCTCCTGGTGTGTCTAGGTGCTCCCTGCACTTAGTTCAGAGAATTTCTGAACTACCTGATAGGAGTAGCTTCTATTTTACCAGATAATGCCCAACTGTTTTCCAAGGCCACTGGCATAAATACACACTCCCATTAGAAGCACATGGAATTCCATTCCTATTTTCTTACCTTAAAAGAGAAGCAAAGCAAAATATATTCTATGCCTTCTTTTTCCTTTAGGATCTGAAGATCGCTGTGCAGAGGACTATCGGGGTCCACCCTAGGAACAGCAAAACGAAAGCCAATTCAAAACAGGTTAGCGAACCTTCCCAGGGGAACTCAAACCTAGAGAACTGCCCCAGGGCCCCAGGCGGCTCCAGGCCTGAGCTGTAAGTGGGCGCTGCAGGCAGGACCACCTCTCCACAACTGGGGACACACACACAGAGCAACTCCAGCACTGGCAATCGACAAGCTAGCAGTCCTTCTAAAAAGAAACAGGCGCATGGACAGAATTGTCTCATGAACTCAAAAAATATAAATAATATAAAGTAATAATATGCTTCCAAAAATTTGTGTTACTAGCCAAGAGGTTCAAGAATAGGGATCTGCTGCTGGTAAGACCATCAAGTCAAATCATCATGAAACTGAATTGTCTACAGGTGTTCCATAAACACGGATGCCACAAAGATACTTCTGTTTCCAATTTGCCATTGTCTCAAGAACTCCATACAACACTATCTCATGACAATATATACTCCTCCGCTCTTAACTGTGAGGCCTCAGAAATAGCTCCTTTTGCTGGGTGCCAGTGGCTCACACCTGTAATCATAGCTTCTCAGAAGGCTGAGATCAGGTTTGTGATTTAAAACCAGACTAGGCAAGAAACTCTGTGAGACTCTTATCTCCAATTAACCACCAGAAAACCAAAAGTGTAGCTCAAAGTGGTAGAGTGCTGGCTTTGAGCAAAAGAGCTCAGGGACAGAGCCAGGCCTGAGTTCAAGCCCCAGTACAAATAGAAGGAAGGGAGGGATAAAAAGAGGGAGAGAGGTGGGAAAAGGGAGGAAAGGAAAGGAGGTAAGAAGGGAAGAAAAGAGGGAAGGAGGAAGGGAAGGAGGGAGGGAACAGAAGGAGGAAGAGAGGGAGGGAGAAAGGAAGGAAGGGCTGGCTCATTTTAATAATCTGAGAATGACTTCCAGAGAAACGAAGTCTAAATATGTAAACACCAAAGTGCACAGGCAACACTCTGGGAAGAGGAGGCCCTCGCTCGCTCGGCTGGCAGCGTCGCGCCTGGATCGGTGCTTACTTGTGTAGTTTCACATGCCAGTCGTACAGGCTGTCGTTTATGAGCTCCACTGAGTACATCCCTGTGAAGACACAGACACGGTGGTCACGCATCCTGCGGCCCTACACCTACCATGCTGAGGTAAGTACATAAAGGAAGGCAACAAGCTAGACTGTAACTACCACAGGAACTCAATGCCTTCACGGAGAGTTACAGCCCACAATTAAGGGGATTCTTTAATGAAATCCACAAACTCCTTATTATTAACAAACTCATTTCATTCTACCTCCTATATCTTCCAGAATATTCCATCCAGTTCCATAATAAGGACACTGTCAGGAGGGCAGCAGAGCACAGCCCGGTGAGCACAGACCCCACAGGCCCTTACCTGATTTGTAGCTCTGCGATCTATATATGTCCCTGAGTTCTTTCATGAGTCTATCTGAAGCTTGCACTGAACCACACACGGCACCCTGAAACATAAAAGTGCTGTTAACATAGTCCACTGAGTCAAGAATCAAAAGATTTAAGGTATTTGAACCTGTTATCAACAAAATCTTACAATGACATGTAAAACCAGATGGCCCCTCAACATTAAGACAAAATAGGAGCCGGGCGCCGGTGGCTCACGCCTATAATCTTAGCTACTCAGGAGGCTGAGATCTAAGGATCACAGTTCAAAGCCAGCCTGGGCAGGAAAGTCTGTGAGACTCTTGTTGCCGATAAACCACTAGAAAACCAGAAGTGGCATTGTAGCTCAAGTGGTAGACCACTCACCTTGAGCTGAAGAGTGCAGGGACAGTACCCAGGCCAGAGTTCAAGCCCCATGACCAACAACAACAACAAAAAGACAAAATAGGCTGGACACTGATGCTCACACTTGTAATCCTAGTTACTCAGGAGGCTGAGATCTGAGCATCAGGGTTCAAAGCCAGCTTGGGCAAGAAAGTCTGTGTGACCCTTATCTCCAATGAACCACCAGAAGACTAGAACTGGCGCTATGGCTCAAAGTGGCAGAGCTCTAGCCTTGAGCCCAGGAACAGCACTCAGGCCCAGGGTTCAAGCTCCACTAGAAACCCCTCATCCTGACATACTGAATGAGAAGATTGATTTGTTTGGTCTGGGCAGGACAAAGCGAAGGCCAGCTTCATAGAGGAGAAAGATACTGAATCTCAACACATGAAGGCCACGTCTGAGGGTAGGTGTGAGGATGAAGTATACACAGACGTCCAGTGATCTGCACAGGGCACACAGCGGCTGTCAACAGACCAGAGAACTAAACCAGGCCAGAGTCCTAGCTGTTAACCACAGCACTGAACCCACCACCAAGAATGGAATGGGAAAGGAGAAACTGAGGTGCTATCATATTTTGGTTTGGCTTTTTGCTTGTTTTGGATTTCAAACAGGGTCTTGGTACATAGCCCGGGCTAACCTGTAACACAATCTATGACCTCACCCTCCCAAGTGCTGAGATTACAGGTGTGGACCATCATGCCCAGCTGAGACTGCTACCTCCCCCTTCCCACCCTACCTCACCCTCCATACTGGGGCTTATACTCTTGCTTGGCTTGCTTGTTCACAGCTGGTGCTTTACCACCTGAGCCATACCTTCAGCCTGGCTTTTTACAAATTAAGAGATGGAATCTTGCTGGGCACCGATGGCTCACTCCTGTAATCCTAGCTACTCAAGAGGCTGAGATCTGAGGATCACGGTTCAAAGCCAGCCCAGGCAGGAAAAGTCCATGAGACTCTTATCTCCACTCAGAAAACTGGAAGTGGCGCTGTGGCTCAAGTGGTAGAGTGCTAGCTTCTTTTTTTTTGGGGGTGGGGGGGGTCCAGTCGTGGGGCCTGA